CCTTAAAGGACCCCTCCCCGGATTTGAACCTGGGATTATTCGTTTACTTTTCACGAACCACCGTCTCCTAAGCCACACTGCCACGTAATAATTTTATTACCGTACTATGTTGAAAGCCTAAATGTGTGATTCAGTTGATTATACTATGATTTAATGACCTTATTTTCATGGGTAACTTTTCAATTGTATACAGTTTGTGAACAAACCAAGCAGATACTTGAGCACGGTATTGCAGCAAATGTTGCAAAGAAGTTGAAACAGCCAAACAGTGAACAAAACAAATCTGAATTTGTTTCTGATGTAGAAAGGCCATCTTCATCCAGTTATGTTGCATCTACATCTGCTGTGGTAAATTTGTGCTTGTTTGATGATCAAACACACCCTCATAACCACCCTCCCCCACCCACACACACACCCGCACACACACACACACACACACACACGCACACACACACACATAATGAACGGTAATCCGAAGGTCTTGTGTCAGGGGCGGCGCCAGAATTCTCCAACAAAGGGTCTAAGCTTTCTGACAAGGGGGTTGTTGGTTGTTGGTTGATTTTTTTTTTATTTTAAGAAATTAAATTTTGTGATAATTATGGGATTCTTTATTTAAAAGCGATATCCTGGGTACTAGTCTTCCTGTCGGAGTTACCATGGCCTGTCAAGGAAGAACTGGCGGACTACTGCAACCCATACGATCGCAAATAGTACCGGAATACGAAACCTCGCACTTACAGTAGCACTGCCTGCACTACAGAGTTTTTAATCTCTAAAATGTTGACAGCTTATTAACACATGCTTGAATTGTACTTTTGGCGCTCGAAATTTGACTTTTCCCCGATGATCTTGCTGGAAATTCTTAAACAGGACGGTCAAAGCAAGAGGTCCAGAGGGCCCCGACGGGGATCCTTTCCTCTAGACCCCCGCTAGCGTCACCACTGTTTTGGGTTGGAACTTGTAGATGGCCGGAAATGACATTCTCAGACTCAAACCTTTAATTGATATTTTGTTAACCCAATTAACTTTAACTTTGTAAAATTTAGGCTTCCCTCCTAATTTTTTAAAATTTATTCATTATCCAATTAGAAGCAATACAAGAGAAAACATGGAAACAAAATGTACATTACCTACGATTGCCTGTCAAAGGTATTGCATTATAATCAAGACATAATCACACAATTGTAAGACAATAAAAAAATAATAGAATCATGAAATAGTTGTTCTAGGACTCCCAACATTTTTGTGGCCCCCCCCCCCACATTTTTCGTCCCCCGGGACCCTTTGGCTTGGCGGACCCCAGGTTGGGAACCACTGTTATAGAATATTACCTGGCCTATAAATTTTATGAATGATAAAGACGTTGGTACTGTAATATTATCTAATGTTATTGATGGGGTAGTACATGATAGTGAGATTTTAAATAGGCACTACTATAAAAATACTTTTGAAATGCAAGCATTTGGGAAGAGGGTACTATATCAACGGTATGTACTTAGAGATTGCTATGCTGTATTATATTTTAACGAAAATACATCAGTATTTAATATCAGTGAAATAATTTAATTATTGTTTAATTACAGGTTCAATTACCTGAAGAATATATGCCCCCGACTAAACGAAAGAGAAGCAGAGGTATAATGTTATACTCATTTCTATTTTTATAATATCCTACAAATACAACGATCAGGTTAAATTTGCCTTATATTTTGTAATGGTAAACCAAATTGAAATGCTAACTAGGACTAGACGTACATGCTGGCCCCACAATAGAACTTCGGAGGTAGCGTGGAAGGCAACCTTGGCTTTCGTCATTAGGGCTCCATCGTGAGTTTAAATGTTTATGTTGAAGAATTGAAATCAGTAAAAGAGTACTGTAGGAAACTGGAAGAGGTTCGACTGCCCTCAGATTGTATGCAGCAAGGTATGAAAGTACTGCCACAAATTAGGGGGCGCCCTACACAGTTCAGTTCAGTTTTATTGGGCTCTCTCACCTTTTGAACAGTGGCACACACAAAATGTGGTGCGTCCATTATACAAATTACAACAAGTTGAGAAAAATACAAACAAAAATAATACAAAACGATTGGTGAGAAGAGAAATACATAGCTAACTAGATTACAGAACAACAAAAATAATAATAAAAATCAAGAGCAACAACAAAAATAATGAAATCAATAATAATGAAAATGAATATAATAATAAAAATAATAATAATAATATAATTATAAAAATAGTAATATCATAATATTAATTTAAAAGATTAATTACAAGCAAACACAAAGTGATATGTATTGTACAAGGAGTAACCGTGAAATATGAAATCAAAGGGGATTTTGGGATACCATTTCGGCATTTACCATCAGTTTTATTGGTTTTAATTTTGTTAACATTACAAACTACAAATTGATAATTAGTTGAGGAGAAAAAAAATAAATTAATTAATTAAAAAAATAAAAATAAAATAAAATAAATAAATAAAAATTTATAAAATTAAATTAATATTACACATAATTTAGAAACTCGTACGCGTTGTTCGAATCTTTTAAAGGCCAGGCCCCTTGGTGGAAGTACTTTTTGCGTTCCAACGAATTCCCGGCAGTCAGACCTCTTGCAGTTTTAAACTCTTTGCTTCAACGAACAACAGTGGAACACTCCTCAACGAAAGTGGGCGGTATTTAACACAGGTAACGAAAGCAAGAACTTTGATACGGTTTCTAAAATAGTACAGTACTTTACAATTTTACTGTTTGCTTTTACAGTGTTATTTTAAACTATTTTGCAAATAGTGGGCATTCTACTATATAATTTTGATTAGATAGAAATGGAAACACAGTTTAAAAAAAAATATTGTAGGTCTACTAGCTGTTATATATATACACATGTTATTATAATACCACTGCCTTAATTCTTGAGAGGAATAGGAGGATACATAGTCAATACATGTGTATTAGTATTATCTTTTGACAGGATATGGTGGACCACCCGATGGTATGTGGGAGAGTCCAATGTTTTGTCATCAGCAGCAACCCCCACCATCAAGACAGTTGTTCCTGCTGCAGCAGCTGCTGCAGCTCAGAGCTCAGATACTGGCTTACAAATATTTAGCGCAGAATCAGCCGATGCCCGATTCATTGAGATCAGCGGTTCAGGGTAAACACCCAATGATGCAAAGCCTTGAAAGACCATCCCCAGGTAGGCGTATACTTTAATTTGACTTCCTGTGTTTTCGTGCATCTTGAGTTAGGTTTGTTGCCCTTGGTACTATAATGCAGACCCTACAACAAATTATGCAATTCTATCGACCAGTTACAATTAAAAAAAGGTTATCTAAAAAGTCTCCTAGGCTATACTTGGAGTTGCACCGGGAATAAAAATACATAATCATCAAACTTAATAACGAATACAGTATATATTTCGTAACAATAAATAGTAACATTTACACAGTTTATATGACAATTGTGAAGACTGGGTGGCAGAAAGGCCAGACCCATCGACGATGGGAGCACACAGAAAAGGAGTTACAGAAACTGTAACTGTGCATGTCTTTGTAAAGTATCTACTTTAGGTTGGTAAGAGTTACCAAGATAGTAGATACTATATCCTACTATCCCCCTTCTCGAATACAGCAACTCACACATCAAACCGGTTTACCACTTGTGTTATATTGTAACGACATAATTTATAAAATACCTTTAAATACTCATAATAATTATTACTATTCTTTATCTTGGTATTCTGTTACCGGTTAATGCCATAAACCTTGCACCAGGGTAAGAATGACAAACTCCTTAGAGAAAATTGTCTGGAAGACCCCTATAAATTATAGCGTGGTGCTGATATAATCCTGATAGTGCGAAATCGGAATTTGTTATGTTTGGGGATGGTAAGCATACATCACCAAGCGATAAACACATGGTTTGGTACACAAAACTGTATTTCCAAAAAGTAATACAATACCCCAAACAGTACTTAAAAACATCCACTGGACTCACAAAAGTCGATGGAAACTAAAAACTAGCCTCCTCCTACTACTACTAGTGCGTAGCCTAATCTAGGCCTAGGTATGAAATCATCACACGTTTTTACTTGTTTGCGTCCAAAAAGGACGTCAATGACTGTATTCTCTCTCGAAAGCTGAAATGTTTATTTCTTTGATGAAAGTGTATGTCTATTATACTTCGGTTAGATTTAATGCATTCAAAAATTTCCTGAGGGCAAGTCCCGAAGGAAATATTTAGTTGGTATGGAAACTTGGACTAAAAATATGTGAATTAAATTTTAAGAAAGTAACCTAAATTATTAATAATACTAATTTTTCAAACAAACACTGTGTACATTGTAGGCCTATGCTCTAGTAATACATTTTAATTTTCTATATTCAAAGTCGGAGTTAGATAGTCTTGTGCCAATCTAGGCCATTTTAGGTAGGCTTTCTTCATAAAGGGTTCTAGAAACGAATGTCTTGTTTTGGAGCAGGAAATCAAATGTCTCTTCCCAGTACCGCTCATTATGTCGACAGAAATCTATTGATAAACTCCACAACAATTACTATCAACATCACCAATACGTGCAATGCCAAGAGATCCTTGCCACAATGTTTTTAATACATTAACCTACTGACAAGCAATGAACGTGCGTTAGAAAAATGTTTTGGGAACATCAAAGATGTGTATAGTGCACGTAAAAAGTTGCTTTAGGAAGATCGGATCACTTCATAACAACATAACTCATTTAATCTCAGTGTACATGCAAAACCTGACACAACAAAAATATGTTATTAGGGAGGTAAAGTTTGGTCAGAAGACTCGGTAAATTACAGGACTGTTTTAGCTCCACTGACTTTTTTTTATGTTTTTATTCTTTCTTTATACTGAATATACACTTTCAATACTTAGTACTGGTTTCCATAGTGGTTCAGTTCTTATTACAAAAATTTTAAAAGCAGACATATACACATTGAAACCAAAAAAAATTGATAACTTTAACTACAAATTAAAAAGATTTAAAAGGAACAAAAGAAACTTAAGAAGATAAAAAATTTAAATAATAAATATGGATATGCAAGGTAAGAGAAAATCAAGTAAAATTAAGATGGTATTATTGAGGATTTGAAATAGAATGCTTAAAATTTGAAAGTGTAATATAT